CTTGACTGCATGTAGTTACAAGTGCAAGTGACATTTCATAGCACACGCTACTCTTAGCGGGAAAAAACACCCATGCACATAAAGGAGGTTTCTCCCAAGTCTGGAGGTTCACATCACATGGTTATTTGAAAAACAAATTGAAAAACAATTCTACCCCATTTACTTGTCTGTATGTGAGACCACAGGGGAAAGTTGAGAACGAGATGGGTGTCTTGGCATCACTGGAAATTAGCACTCCTCTGGCTGGCTCCTCAGCTCCCGAGTTGGTCAGCCGGTCTCTGTTTTCCTGACAGTACTATTCACTCCCAGAGACAGAGTTGCAGAGCCAGGCTCTCACAGAGTGTCTGCACCATTTATCAAGAGTTATAAACAACTCACAGAAAGACTCTGTATAAGCCAGAATCAGTCACCAGAAATTAAAAAAGGTAAGTCAAAATAATAATCTTAATACTTGTTTTATACAGAAAAGAATGTAAGCATCATTTATCCACTAGTCTAGAATCTTGACTCTGTGTATTATTATATGTTGCAGAATGGCAAAACACATTAATATTTGCTAAAGCTAACACTGGAATACAAATATGGGATTTAATTTTATTTTGCTAGTAAACATGAAAAGGCAATGCCCATATAATAGGAGTAACTGCATCTTGAGAAGGTAGTATCTCTACACAGTGTTACTTACAGTACATCTATTCAATAAGTACAAGGTCAGATTAGACAGTACAGCAGGGAGAAGAAACAGCACATCCTCCAAACTACAGCAGCCACAAGCAGCCACTCACAGCTGCTAGAAGACAGAATGCCAAGAGCCCCAAATACTCCACACTGCCTTGGTCATCTATAACCTTGAGACAGGGATGTTCAAAAGAGCAATAAAATGTTGCTTTCATGACTGAAACACAAGAAACCTTTCACGTGGTGGAAGATCCTTCAGAGCACGGTTCTAATCTCTAAGTACAATAGCAACATAAAAGGCAAGCGGTGGCAGAAGCCATGAAACTGGGCTTGTAATGCTTTCCTGCAGGTTACAAAATGCCGCTGTTTCATGTTATCCTACCAGCAATCCAGTTAAATACAGCTAGAACAACTTCTACAGAGAGACCATTTTAGTACTTAGAACCACAGAGTAACTTTTTCTAGACAAAGACCATGCTGTCTTGAGTATCTGTACAGCACTGACAGCAGTGGGGCCAGAGTCCTACCTAGCATTGCTTCAATTCAACATCAACTGTTATTATGGAAATCAGTTTCATAAATATTTATCAGTGTAGTCAGTCTTTTACAAAACATGACTGAGGCTGTCTTCAGAAGACCATATTGGCTATATTTCAAAGGCAAGAGTTGACAGTTCTTCAATGATACTCAATATTTGAAGCACATATATTACCATCTAGACAACAGTCTAGCCAGCTTGAATCATTAGAGGTATTTAAAAGAAAACTGTGCTGTCTGGTAAATAACATTCTCCAAATCCTAAATATAATGAAGCCAACCATAGCACATAATTTAGACCCCTAGTTTAGGCTTGGGTATTTTCACAAAGCTGTTGATTGGTGGAGGTAGGCGATGTTTGAGTTTTCCAGTTTTATAACTGTTGGGATCTAACAACTTCCCTAACATTTGTGACTCTAGTATCATGATGTTGTTATACTACTGTGTGATGCATCCCTGGTGACAAAATTATGCTAACAAGTCAGCTTAATTGTTCAAACAAAAATAACCTGCCAGCAGCCTGTCTACACTGGAGCTCTTGATACTGCTACTGTAGGTGTGGATGAGCTAGTGTTTGCAATATTGGATACAATCTGCAAAATATTTCCAGCATTCAGATAAACTGGATTAAGAAATAAAAACAGATAAAGCCAGGCATGGAGGGAAAAAAAAAACACAAAACGCACCATACATCAATATCTGGTATATAACACACAAGTGAGAAATAACTTCATGCCTCCACCAGCACATGGAAGGAATCCTCTGTTCTTTCATGGACTACATACACCCTACAACCTACAATTTATTTCTTTACCTCTAACAATTTTGGGGATTGATATTACTTGCTGGCCCCATAAACTGGAAAAGCATACTAAATGCAAGATTATAAGCTTCATAGATTTCCTCCTAGACCTATGGCACTGGACGATAGCATCCATGGAAACCTGCACAAAGTAAATGCTCAGGTTTACTTGCGGGAGCTTAGCTCTAACATCAGTTTACTATAACCAGACCCTGCAACTGTTTCTGAAGCTAATGGACAGTGGCAAACTGTGATGTGTAGCTCTAAAACAAAACTAATTGTAAAACAGGTTTTTAATCTATCTTCTCTGTGGAAGCGTAACACTTGCGAGTTTGCAACCTGGCTGAGCATTTCATACTCTACACATCACTGACCCGGGCAATCTCTTGACTTTGGCATGCATGATTTAACCAGGGTATGGGTAACCAATCTTGACGTAATAAACTTTGCAAAATGGCTGCAGTTATACACAAAATCAGTCCAAAATAAAGGAGCGGTTTAGCTGGGATAAACTTAGGTCATACTAGAGGATGCAAGTACTGTTTAATTAAAGAGCAAGGATCAATGGGGCTGGCTTGGAAACAAGCACATTCCACTCCTGACAATTCCCATCAATTTGCTGGGTGGTCCTAGATATGTCATTTAGGCTCTTTCTTCCTTGCATAGATAGGGAAAACAGAGGAACAATTACGCTTAATTGCTGTTGTAAACTTTAGATCCAAGACTAGATTGTACTTTAACAGCATTTTGTTCAAACACCAGGTGCCAAAGAATCTGCTGAATTTAGTAAACAATGCATAGGCGTGACAGCAGAAAGAAGGCCCTGCTTTTCAAGGCAGAAGGACAACTTTAAAAGATAAGCAAAGTTATTCAAAAGAAATCTAAAAATACTTGAAAGTTAAGTCAGCTCTTCTGAAAATAGATGAGGAAGTCTCAGCTAGAGGACTATCTGTCATAGCAAAACCAATGAAGCTACAAGTTGATTTCCAGCATGATCTTGTTAAAGTAAGAAAAAAAGTGGATTTTTTTGAGGGGCTACTTCCGGAAAATTAAAATACAATGAATGTTCACATGTAACATTCTTGGCAACTAGAGATTTTGTTAATCGGAAAAAAGTGGCTTTTTCCTGAAATACCCTAAACAACATAAATTCAAAAGCAGTTTTCAACTGCAGGACACTGAACTGCTAGAAGTCTTCTAGAGAATCAAGAAAGAAGTAGAAGAAGCCTCACCTCATACATCCATGGGATTTTGAGAGTCCACATAGCATATAGAGAAAAGCCAAAAGGATTTAGGAGATTAAGTATGACTTTTAAATAATGGTATTTTTATTAATGGAGATGCAACCTCCCTTAGATGAAAACGTGTAAAACCCCCAAAACCGCAGGTTTTTTTCCGTGTTGTCTCTCTCAGTGTAAAAGCCTGACTCAAGAAACCACCCTGACAAACTGCTTGACACAGGAGAACGGGCATACAATAAGGAAAACTCATTAGCAGCAGCAGAGTATGAGCTACCAGCCCCATGCATGTTACCCAAGGAGAACCAACTCAAATATGCCGCTGCACTAACACAGTCGCCTGTCAGTCAAATGAATAGCAGTCCACCACCACCCTTGAAGAGTTGTAGTCTGTTTTTAGCCATTAAAGGAGGGCAGTGACATTTATTTGACCATCAGAAGGCTGCTGCAGACCGGCTGCTATGTTTTCAAACAGCATCCTCTAATTAGAGCAATGGCTCTTAAGGGGAATACACCTTATGGCTGAAAATACCTTGTTAAAAGCGGGGCAAAAATCAAAGCAAAGCAAGTCAGAGCTGCATAATTCGGTATTTACAACTACGAAGCATTTTTAACACGAATGAATAAAGGGGCCGACTGCATAGTTAGCAGCTCAGTACATTAGAGGACTGGACATGTGATGAAACCTGTAAGTTACCAAATTTCAATCTATATGGAACCTTCATTTGAGACAATTCGGATTACTAGACTACGTTTCTGTATCAAACGTGAAAGCAAAAAACATGCTAACAAAAAAGAAGTTTCTAAAACATGTACAAAACTCCAAACTAAGCAACACTCAAGATTTCCTTAAAAAACAAAGAAACATCACAACTTCAAATGTCTAATGACGGCTGTAATGAATCGGGGGGACACCGTCAACTTTAATCAGTTATTTTTCCTCATCCACCTAAATATAGCTCCAGTGCAACACCTGCCCTCGCATCGGTTTGCACGACGCGTGCGGTTGTGTTCTGGGAAGAAGAATGGGAGTGCAGAGTACCACAACCTTGGAAGAGCTGTGGACTTTCTTTGCTCTTGACGCCAGAGCACGAAGCGAAGTGAAACGCCGAAACCCAATATGCTCACCTCCCTATTTACAGCACCGTACGGTGCTTCCGACAAGAGCAAGCGGCAGGAACGTCCCGCCAAGTGTGATTTCTGGCGTGCCGAGCATCCTCCGCAGGAAAAATAAGCAACGAACAAAAGTCCTGCACGAGGTATGCGAGCTATCCGGAGGAGAAAAAAGCCGCGAGGCAGCTTTTACCTTGCGGCACGACAGCTCTCCACAGAAAACGAGCTACCGATACGAGCCCACCGGGGCATGCCGGGGCACCTCACCCGGCCCCGCTGCACCCGGGGCGGCCTCCTCCTCCGGCCCGGCCGCCGCCCGGGTGCGCTGACACCGGCTGCCCGCAGGGCTGAAGGTCAGGGCGGGCCGGTCTGTCTGTGGAAAAGGCGTCAGGGCCAGGGCCCGCCCCGCTTCCCGCCGCCCCGGGGTGCCACACGCCGCCTCAGGGGGCTGCGCTCGTCGTCCCCCCCGCCCCGCCCCGCTGCGGCCACCGGCCTGAGGGGAGACGGGGAGTTCCCCGGTCAGAAAACGGAGAAGCGGCAGCACCGCTCCCCGCACCCGGCCCTCTGCCGCCGGGGAGGCCGCGGGCCGCCTGCCAGGGTCCCCTGTCCGCCGGGCGAGGCCGGCCGCTCACCATGGCGAAGCCGGAGAGCAGCGCGGAGGTGCGGCTGGAGGCTTTCAGCTTGGCGCGGCTCAGGTAGAGCTTCCGCCAGGACAGCGCCTGCATCGAGTGCTCGTTCAGGCTCATGGGCTCCGGGCGGCGGGGGCGGCGGGCGGAGGAACGGAGGGGAGCGGGAGAGCACACGGCGGTAACGGCGGCTCCTTCCGGCGAGCAGAGCGAGGGCACCAGCTGCGCTAACACCCCATAGCGCCCGGCGGCGGCTCCTGCCGGTGCTGGGGCCGCTCC